CCCCCATTGTGTTCGGATCAGACGAATCTCTTAACGCAAAGGTCGCTTCTAGCTAGCTTCTTCTTGGAAGATTAAAGCAAAACAAAAAAACTCGTGCATGTGTGTGGCAGAGCAGATGAAGTACTCTGTTCAAGACTGCACGGTTCGAAATGGAGCTCGAATGTTTTCCAAAGGCCACTCAGCAGTAGCACAATGCATGGCTGAAACCTTGAGGTTCAAGTTAGCAGGACTCTACAGTTTTATCCCCCCACAAATGTAAATAAAATAATGCTCTAATTCATATAGTATAATCTTAATGTAAACTTTTGCCAGGTAATTAAGTTGGTGGATTAAGGGGAAGAACAGTACTATGTGTATTAAAGTGCTTTTCATAATTATCTAAAAGACAAAGGAAAAAAAAGAATAAAAGTGCCTCATTTGGCACTGATATATTCCCCTACTTATTTTCCCCCYATTTTATTTACAAGTTATCACATTCAGTGTTTCCACAACTTTCTGTCTTCACCTGTTTAACAGAGCTAATCAGATGAAACCCTTCCAAACGAATTGTTCTWTAATTACACCCAGTTCATGTTTTTACTCTGTTACTGATGGATGCTGAGATTTATGTAGACAGTAGAGCTTTCATCTTTCTGTTATTTAAAGTTTTCCTGTAAAGGTTGCTTGATCTTGATCCTTGATAATTTATGAAACAGCAGTAGAGAGAAAAATAACCTTCCCATGGAATGTAGGGTGTGTATATCCGGTGGATTTTTGAGTGATGGTTTACATCGAAAAATTGAATTTTTGCTTCAGTTAAATTCCCCGTCTGAATAGCCAGGATGATGAGTCGTCCAGCAGAAACCAGAACTATCTCCCAGTGACGGGTCGGGACTCCATAAACCCAGACCACCGTTAAATCTCATCTAGTGTAAAATTGAAACTCCAATCTGAAAACGGTGGCAAGGCACTTATTTGTCACGCTTTCGTGGTGGGGGTGGGGGGCTGCAGGCAAATTTACAGACTCCTCGGAGTCCCTGGGGTTACAAAATCTTCCTCTGTTCAGAACATCCAGTTTACTTGGCAGAATATTTGTACGTAGGCGCTCAGCTGTGTAAATCCTGGAGCTTTAAGGACTTTCACCTGTTTTTAACGACTGCTCATATCACCGCCCTAATTCTGCTTTTATTTCTTAAATAAACGTGAGCAGTTTGAATGTAAACCACACAATACATTTGCGATGTCCGTTGATTCCCCGTGTTGGTTGTTTTCAGGCAGAGAATGATTAGTTCACTGTCTTTTCAACGTAAAATGTTGTGACTGTGACTGCAGCACTGGGGCTACCATGCATCAAAACGTCTAGATCGCAACCGTGCAAATGCACACTTTATTTCCCCCTTCCTGTGTCTTGATGTTTTGTTTTCTTATAAGTCTTTTTAAGATACAAAGGTCTGGATGAGCCTGCGAGCTGTGTTTGACTGGTTGAAGTTTAGTTTGACAGCAGAAATAAGGACGAACAAAGATTGAGTTTGTTCACTGTCTTTCAGAGAGAATTGTTTACTGATCATTAATATAGTTCCTGTCCCATGGCACTCCAGTCCCCCAGAAACACCACCAGATTTATCCTTTTGTTTTGTTTTTTCTTTTCTTTTTAAGAGTTAGGATTGTATGATGCATAAGTATAAAACAATAAAATCACAAAGTTTATTTTAAATTACTCTTGTTTATTTGTGTTTATTAACGCTGTTCATATTTAAAGCTCAGCTTGTGTTTGAATTACAGTACACTAAATGTTGCTGCTTATGTTGTTGGCTTATAATGACCTCATTGATTTCGTATTGAACTTTCTTTTCTCAGACTCAACAGTAGGTCCAAATGGTACCAWACAGCCACACATAGTGTGTCTCAGTGTTTGTCACCACAGCCAGTTGTTAGCCCTGAAACCACTATCACAGCTTGGACTTGGGGAAAATTGAAGAAGTTTTATCAATTACTTGTGTCATTAAAACAGATTTGTCTTTTTTATCGATTGTGAATATTTTGAGTTCATCAAAAAGAGAACGTTTTAAAGTTGTTTCAAAGCAGTACCACTGCTGTGGGTTTAGACTGAACTGTTGTTACAGGTGACGCGTCAATCATTCAGTTGGTGGTCTGGATAAAGTGGAACTGCAACGCTTTGGTCTGAATTCCTCATTGTAACTCCACAAGCCCCTCTTTCATCCCTTTTCTGAGGCGTGTCTCAACTCGTTTTGAGGCTGTCTCTTTATTCCAAACGAGGCGCTTCACWCCTCGTCCCCCTCCACCTTCCAGACTGGTCCAATGTACTTTGATAAAGATTTTTATGACTATATAGCAGTGCAGAATCACTTTATTTACAAATGAATGTCGAACGAGAGAAGACTTGTTCATCCAGCCTCACATATTGAAGCCAGAGTCTGACCCACAGCCATTAGAGAATGATGACCACCAAACTGTAGTTGGTAAGTCCATACCTTATTTAGTAGTTCTCTCACAGAATCTGTGACGTAATGGTGCAGAAAACATAGAAAATGAAGAAAACTGAACAGGTTGACTTTTCTGCACTCCTAGAGACTCCAAAGTACACAATGTTAAAAAGTGGATTTTGGATGATGTGCTTTTTATAGCTCCAAAACTTTTTGAATTGTTTGGTTAAAATTATTTGCATTAGTATGAAAAGCATGTTTTCACAGGGACATCAGGTCATGTCCCTATTTTCAGCTATAGTGTATTTTTCCTTGTACAAAGTAAAGTATGATCGTGTGGAGTCTGCTCTCACTTTATCTAACTGGTCTGGTGAGTTTTCTTGTTCTGTACAGACAGCCTGAAGGCGTGAGCTGTAAATGAGGAACTGGCTCAGTTATCTGTAGATCAACTGGAATTTAGTGYATTTCATCACACTGGGTTTGATTTGGACTTCCTTCTCAGAAGTGAGTCTCCACAGTCAGAAACTTTTAAATGGTTTGGGAGTAGGAAAAAAATTAAAATTATGTATATTTACTCTGGTGCTGTATTTTAAATGAACGTTTTTGCAGATATTTTATGACAGCTTAAAATAGAACATTAAACTTGTGTTACTTGCACAGATTTTTCAAGCTATGTAGAAAGGTAGAAAGAAATACTTGTCTTAATAATAAACCAACATTTTATGCAAGCAAATATACACTCACCGGCCACTTTATTAGGTACACCTGCCCAACTGCTCGTTAACACTTAATTTCTAATCAGCCAATCACATGGCGGCAACTCAGTGCATTTAGGCATGTAGACATGGTCAAGACAATCTCCTGCAGTTCAAACCGAGCATCAGTATGGGGAAGAAAGGTGATTTGAGTGCCTTTGAACGTGGCATGGTTGTTGGTGCCAGAAGGGCTGGTCTGAGTATTTCAGAAACTGCTGATCTACTGGGATTTTCACGCACAACCATCTCTAGGGTTTACAGAGAATGGTCCGAAAAAGAAAAAACATCCAGTGAGCRGCAGTCCTGTGGGCGGAAATGCCTTGTTGATGCCAGAGGTCAGAGGAGAATGGGCAGACTGGTTCGAGCTGATAGAAAGGCAACAGTGACTCAAATAACCACCCGTTACAACCAAGGTAGGCAGAAGAGCATCTCTGAACACACAACATGTCGAACTTTGAGGCAGATGGGCTTCAGCAGYAGAAGACCACACCGGGTGCCACTCCTTTCAGCTAAGAACAGGAAACTGAGGCTACAATTTGCACAAGCTCATCGAAATTGGACAAGAGAAGATTGGAAAAACGTTGCCTGGTCTGATGAGTCTCGATTTCTGCTGCGACATTCGGATGGTAGGGTCAGAATTTGGTGTCAACAACGTGAAAGCATGGATCCATCCTGCCTTGTATCAACGGTTCAGGCTGGTGGTGGTGGTGTCATGGTGTGGGGAATCTTTTCTTGGCACTCTTTGGGCCCCTTGGTACCAATTGAGCATCGTTGCAACGCCACAGCCTACCTGAGTATTGTTGCTGACCATGTCCATCCCTTTATGACCACAAAACCGTTACTAGTGTGGTGTACCTAATAAAGTGGCCGGTGAGTGTAAAGTAGTGATTGGTTCTGTGATCATCATGAAGCTTCGTGATGAGCCTTTCTGACAACCTTTAGTGCTTCTAGAATTCTAAGACGTCATCAGTGTTTTATAAAGTACCACAAAGTGATACTTGAGTAAAAGTACAAGTATCTTACCAAAAAAATTACTTTGGTCAAAGTTAGTCTCCTTTAGGACTATTACTAATATTACTTGAGTAAGTCTTAAAGTATCTGATTTTTTGCACTTGCGTATTAAAAGTAAAAGTATTGATTTAAAATGAACAGTTATTTTCTGTAAGGACATTTATTAGGAGGTGACCTCAAAAAATGCAGAAATGACTCGTGTTAATTTATGTTAAATTAATATGCACTATTCCAGCTGTTTCAGTTTATAAACATATATCAAGGCTGCACAAACCTTTTCCCCAAAATAAGAATCTCTCTGAGGGCTGCGGCCAATATAATTCATGAAATACAAATAATTCTCAAATACAGACCTTTTATTTTAATAATTATGTCCTGCTGGTGTGTGACACGATTTGTTTGTGTACAAAATAATACGGTATCAGAATTTTACATATTTATACTTCTCATTCAACCACTACTAAATTAACTATCTAGGAGGCACAATTTATATGGATAGTATTTATTTTTACAATAACAAGCTGGAATGAAAACAAGCATAAATTAAATAAAAGAAACGACTTTTTACTTCTTGCCTTTTTTAAATGTAACGATTAAGTATTGATAATTGTGTGAAAATTTAAGATGTAGTAAAACGTAGGCTGAAAAATAATTACTCAAAGTATAGATACCAAAAAAATCTACTTAAGTACAGTAACAAAGTATTTGTACTTGGTTACAACTCTGGTAGTCACAAGTGTACATTTAAAATTTAAATGTGAATAAACTGCAGCTGAATGCTGTAGTTTAAAATCAGTATTCTTAACCTATATAAATGTCATTTCAGAAATATCTAATTTTTATTCTGTCAGTTTCTTAAAAGAAAATGTTTTAAAACTAAGTAAATTGAAGACAGATGTTTTTTAATGTAATGTTACAACGTTCTGCCATATTTAAGTTGTTTACTACAGTATAAATCTGAACATTTATTTAGACTTTGCTCATATTAAGTATTGTAAACTTTATCGTGCTTTACTCGAAAGCAATAAAGGTGAAGTGCGTCTTTTTTTTACAGCGTTTCTCGCGCGCCCTGATAACAAGCTGCGTCATATCCGGTCAGCTGTCGTTTCCGGATGCGGTGAAACAGCAAAGACGAAGGAAAAAAAAACCTCACGGACACGGATTAAATGAAGGGAAAAAAAGACAAGACGTTCCAGTGTAGTCCAAGATGTGTTTATGGAAACAAACTGTAAAACTGGGGACGTTTTTTCTGTCAGTGGGTTTTGACGGGTTTCGTCCGTGAAGAAGTTTTGTTTTCRGTCGTGTTTATGTCGTCTTCCTGCTCCTGCTAGGACTGTTAGCCACGGTTAGCTGGACGCCAGACAACAGCTTCCCTCTGTCAGATAATGATACAACTCGTTGCTCTTTTCTTTTTCCTGTCTGTAAGTTTAAGACCAATGTATATTTAAGTCCATGTTTATCGTAGCTAGAGGTTTTTGTCAGAGTGTTTGGATGCTTCATACGAAGTAAGAACAAAGTCAGGCTGTCGTTTTGTGAATTATCCTGAAAACGTGTTCGGATCTCCAGAATGTCTGGAAATTGGACTTCAGCCACTTTATGGAAATCACTGCAGATAGTTCGTAAATAACACTCGTCTGTCAGCTGGTAGTCCCCTCTRCATTTGTTTTTCTGCTGACACTTAGCCGCCTGTGTCTGAAGTGGAAGACAGTTTCCTTACAGGCTTTGTTGTTGTTTTTTCTCCATTTAATTTTATTTTACACATCGAGATCTTCAACTCAACTGGTAGGTCTGCTGTTTTACTGAAATATTTACTTTTTATTGATGTGTTTAGATGAACATAAATTACCTTATGGTTACTGTTTTATCAATGGAACTCCTGAATGTTGTAATTTTAACCTTTTACACAAAACTAGTGTAACAGATGGCATATTAATATTTAGAAACGTTTAATAGAGAAGAACCTACAATCATATTGTGTTTATTTTATGTAAAGAAAAACATCCATGTTGCTTTTAGACATGTTCTCATGCAATTCCAATTTTGTCGTTTYATTCAGTTTCCTCTTGATTTGTTTAGAGAACTAAAAGCTTCAAGAGATTATTGTTGTCTGTAAATTATACCAGTGTATTTAAATAACCTGTGTTTTTCACCTTATTTCTTTTGTGTTTAAAAAGATTTTGCGTTATCAGCTCAAACGTAGGCATCTACCTGGTTAGTTATTATTAATATGATTTTGTTTTATTACACTAGCATACTAAATTTAGAAATGTCCACACTTTTTGTTTAATCTGACCTGGACTGTTTTTTTCTTTAAAATTTATTTTAATATAGATTTGTGAGAAAAAAATTTGTGTCTTCATTTGTGTGTGTATTTCAGACTATAATCTATATTAAGTAATTCACTTCTTTTTATGGTAGGACAGAAATTAAACTTAAGGTATACACTCACCGGCCACTTTATTAGGTACACCTGTCCAACTGCTCGTTAACACTTAATTTC